TCTTCAGCTTTCTAGTTTGTTTCCACTGTGCCCCTGTGAGTGGTTCCTGGATTGTGGGGACATGTGTCTATGCACCCTGGACTTCCCTTAGGGTAAGTCTACACTGTGGTGCTATTTCAGGACACTTCCGGTATCCTGAAATAGCTATTACGTGTCTTTGAAACAAGCCGGTTATTTCAAAGTATAACGGGCTCACTGTTCCGACGTCCCTGTAAACTTTGTTCCACGAGGAGTAAGAGACATTTTGGAATAGCAGTTTATTTCAAAATTTTGGCACTGTGTAGACAGGATCAAATTATGAAATAAACTATTTTGAAATTAACTTGAAATAAGCTATGCAATTTACATAGTTCAAATTGTGTAGCTTATTTCAAAATAAAGGTGCAGTGTAGATGCACCATAGAGATGGTAAAACTCCCTGTCCCCACAGACAGATCGATCCACAGAGGGAAAATGAGAAGCTCCAGCAGCAGGTTTTACCTTTGTGGCTGTCTATTCTCCATTTACAGGAGAAAGGCCGGAAGTACAGTCTTTTTACTTTTCCCTTCTTGCTTCTCATCTTCTGGGAATCTCTTTGTATGTCCTATGCCAGACCTTTTCTCTCTCAGCATTAAAGGCTATTAACAATAGTCTCTCTGAATTTGGGCCAAAGACTGGATCTAGACTCCCTAAGGATATGTCTACACTAACCCCCTAGTTCGAACTAGGGTGGTGAATGTAGGCATTCGAACTTGCAAATGAAGCCCGGGATTTAAATATCCCGGGCTTCATTTGCATGTTCCCGGGTGGGCGCCATTTTTAAATCTCCTTAGTTCGAACTGACTGCCCTCGGCTACACGCGGCAGTCAGAAGTTCATCCGAACTAAGTCCTTAATTCGGATTAACTGTTACACCTCATTGCAGTGTAGCCGCGGGCAGTAAGTTCGAACTAAGGGGATTTAAAAATGGCGCCCACCCAGGAACATGCAAATGAAGCCCGGGATATTTAAATCCCGGGCTTCATTTGCAAGTTCGAATGCCTACATTAGCCACCCTAGTTCGAACTAGGGGGCTAGTGTAGACATACCCTTAGACCCGTGGTCACCAACCAGTAGATCGCGATCTACCGGTAGATCTCAGGGATGCACCTGCGCAGTACATTTACATTAGATTTCCTCATGTAATGTAGGCGGGGCTTCAAGGAAGGGGCGGGGCAGTAGATCTTCGCCTGTTCTGAGACTTAAAAAGTGATCTTGGGTGTAAAAAGGTTGGAGATCACTGCCTTTAGACTCTGGGGAAGGTTAGAGACAGATCCAGGGCCAAACTCTGTAGCTTGTTTAACTGATTAAATGGGATTTAAAATTTCTACTTGAGACCAATTGATGCAAAAATTGGTATGTCAAATTTGCCTGTTAGCAGCTACAGAACTGCAAGGACCCAAACATCACAGTGATAGGCTCCTTAGAGAGACAGACGTAACTGAGATAAATGTGGTTTTTGGTTTTAATTTATAGATAAAACCAAAAAGAGCCTATTCAAATAACTCTAGCCATCACAGATGAAGAAGCGTTGTACATGGAATGAAACTTTTCCTACCTGACACTAGAATGGTGGCAAAGCAGCAATTACTTGCTAATATTTGTCTTGAGTCTTTCTTATCCCAGTAAGCACAGTACAGACAACAATTACTGAAAAAACAAGACACTTTCCAAGATTCATTTTCCCATGGCTAAAACTTGTTGCCTGTCCTCCAGGCTAGGGCACAAAACTCTTTGTCTTTGCATACACAGTGAAGTTTTACCTCCATGATAACCAAGAATTACACACCAGCGCATGAAACTAGAACACACAGACATGTGAAGAAAATGCACAGGGCAAGTTTCTGTAGATGTGCTGAAAGCAGAAATGGGGAAGCCGAGTGCCAGGAGCCAATTCCCCTCTCCACTGCAGGGGGGAGGGGGCAGCAAGTCACAGTCCCTCCAAACAGGATCCTCATGACAGTGAGAGGGCTGTGTCCCTCTCCTGCACCTAATCACTGTCTACACAAGAACAGGAAGATTGCACCATCCAATGGGCTGGAAGGACCAGTAGAGCACGTGCACCAGAGCTCGAGGAGCGTGGCTGTGTGTTGTCTTCCGTGCAGATTAGTGGGTATGCTACATGGTCACAAACGACCCATTCATACAACCCAAAGACACAATGGCAGGCATGAAGGTGGCGGGGGATGAGAGGGGAGCGTGACAGTTGTCCTGCTGCTGCCTAACAAAAGATCTGGCTATGACTACACGTAATGCAGGTCATTTAATACTGCAGCTCTTTGCATAATCTAAATGTATTTGAAAGATCATTGCCCAAAGGGCCCAGAGCTGCTGTGGAAGGTTAAAATCTACCGAGAACTCCAGCTGGGGCTCGCGATTTCAGCACAGAACCCTTGGTAGTACTGCAGTGTGACAGGAAAGCGTGTTCCTGTGACATGGACATTGACGTTGCAAACTCAGGAGTGGAGTCTGCCCATTGACAAACATCTATCCTCCTGCTACATGGATAAAAATAGCGCTTTCGGTTTTGCAAGCGCTTTTTGAAGAGCCAGCGACAAGTGGCACTCAGTGAGAAATCAATACTGGGAGAGGAGCTTAGAGAGACTCAGTGGACTCTTTGTTACTAATTAAAACCAAAGCGAAACCACAGCTGCATGTTGTGCAGGGCAAAGTGAAATGGATCTGAGAGAGAAAGCTCTAGAGTCACTCCCGGAAGCGTATCTTTACTTTGCTTTGTTTTCCCCAAATACCAGACACACAGTTGGGAAACAGTTGATTTGACATATAAAAGCACAGAATCAATTAATTATCCGGTGTCTTTGATCCTCATTTAAAAAATGCAGTTGTCAGAGGCAGGTTGGACTATGTAACACAATCTGCAGGCAATTCAAACCGGCTCAGCTGGAGAAAGCCTGTGGAGTGAAACAGCACTAGCGCTGGGGTGGGTGCCAGCACGGCACCCCATAGGTGGTGTCAGCCCAGCACTCTATCAATCCATGTCACACCCACCTGGGTTCATCCCAGCTCCAGCCTAGGGCACAGTGATTGGCTAGCAAATGGCATGGCACTGCCCAGAACAGCCAATAGCTGGTATAGGCAGCCTCCTTCCACTCCTCCACCTGTATCCTCACCATCACTCCCACTGCCTAGCCTCTTCCAAATGTTTATCGCAGCTTCCGTTTCTTCTGGGCAGTGCAGTTACCACTGGGGGCATGCATATTTGATCATTTTGCACAATCAGCATGGGGTTGCAGAGGCTGGGCTCTGAAGCACCAGGTAGGCCACAGCAGGACTCCCTAGCCATAAGCACCGGTCACAGTCTCGGTTCATCTTACTTTGGATACACAGGATCACACTGTGGGCGAGGTCTCTTAGCAGCCAAGACTCTCACATTGGGGCTGTGATGGCGGTAGAGGTCAGGTCTGCCAACCCCAAGGCAGGTAGTAGTTTGGCACATATTCAGCCATTCCCGCCAAACTAGAACCTTCCCTTTCACTTAGGATAAGGCAAGACTGTCATGATCCCCAAGTGGAAAATCCCCGACGAAATCCAAAGGAAATGGAATTCTGATGGAGGATTTGGACTCTTGGGAGCACCCCCGTTCGAGTGAGAGAGCTGCTGATTTCCTTGTGAAGTAGATTACACAGGCATGATTAGACCTTATGGTTACATGGGATTTTACAGTTAAAACGCTACTAGTTGTGAGTGAAAAAGCACTATGAAGGCCAGAGATGATAAAGGGGTTGCTGTTACTTACTTGGCCGGCATCCACTGCCAGAAATTATCCTCTCTATAACTATCAAAATTTTAGAAGCCATGGGAAGATAAAATAATCCAAATTCCAAGCCTCCCAAGTGATCAGTAAATTACAACTCCCATGGCTAGCTTTCATTTGCATGGCTAGTATGTCAAACAGTTTGTTGGAAGCATTATGGAGGACAGGTACTGTACACAGCCTAACTTTAAATCTCTCTTCAGTAAACCTACAAGAAAGTGTTTTTGCTGCATTGAAGTGCAAACCTTGCTCCCAGAACACTGTCTTTGTTATCCCCCACCCCTGGCAGCAGGCTACTGCAGAGCTCCAGTCTGTCAGGGGCACAGCTCCGGTCCCCACTGAGACACAGGGAAGTCCAGGGGATCTGTGCTTGGGACAGTGGATCTCTGCAGGGCTCTGTGTATCCTGTTTACTTCTTCACCCTTTATGCTAGAAACAAAGTTTCTGCTGCGTCCACTGTCCCCCAAACCTGCAGTAGGGTCCAGTATTAGCCCCAATAGAGCCATTATTTCTTTTCACCAAGATTTTTCTTCTTTTGATCTTCATTTTGTGTAACTGAAAGAATCTACACACTCCCTTCCCAAAAGGGAAAATCCTTCCCTACCACCCTCCTGCTCTGGTGTTTATGACTGCATCAGTAGAACCCTGCATGGATACACAATTTGTAACTGCACCCGCATCCAGATCCACAAACATGAGCTGCGGATAGCTGCACCCAGATCCACGGAGGATACCTGAAGATATAAAGCAAATGCTCCCGGATTTGCAGAGCTCTGTGTGTCAGAACCAGTACAGATCTGCCTGGTGGGATGGGGCCATGACTGCGCTGAGCCACCGGCCAGTCCCTCCACACCAATGGGGAATACATCAGCGGTGGTAGACCTGAAAATGCAACATGCAGCTGCAGAACTGCACTGTTGCCTTAGAGAGGATTCCAACTCCCCCACCCCCATGGAAGATGAAGGGTTAACTGAGAAGCAACTCAATGACTAAAGTGGCACAGTACTCTTTGATGTTAGTAAGTATCAAATGGACAACATACATATAAATACAGTAGCATCTCAGGCAGATTACCAAGGGTACAACAAGTGCTCTGTAAGCAGGCGGCTGCTGTTGCATACTCATTTCAGCTCAAGTGCTTCTCAAAACTACAGTACACGCATGCGACTGAACATCAGAAAGTAAACAAGGAACTAAGTAAGACTTACCTCAGCTTTGTTCTGTTTCTCTTCACATTCACTCTGTTCCTTTTCCATGCCAACCAACTTAATCTTCAGGTCTGAAACTTCTGCTATTAGATCTAGTTTCTGAGTCTCTAGAGACGTTCGACTTAGCAGCTCCTGAAAGAACAGCAGTTTTCTTCCTAATTATTTTTATTTGTGTAAAACACTAGCAGCGAACTAACGTATTAACACTTATGTGAACAAAAGTCCCTGCCCCAAGGAATTTACATTTTCAATACAGATTCCAGATGACTCTGTATTTTATTTAAGAGCCACATTTATTGAAAAGTATAATTTTTAAAAATGTAAATGACAGAAACCGGATTAAGATTTTACTTATAAGAGTTTTTGAAAATTAAACAATAATTAAACAGTAGTAAGTCACTAGGACCCAAGAGTTCTGAATAAATTCAAATATGAAATTGCATAACTAACAACTGTGGTATGCAACCTATAATTTAAATTAGCTTCTGTGACAGATAACTAGAGGGTAGCTAACATAACAATGTTTTTTTTTTTTTTAAAGGCTCCAGAGGCAATCCTGTCAATGAGAGCCTAGTAAACCTAACTTCATCACCAGACAATTAGTTTTAAACTGGAGTAAACCACAGAAATATCAGACATATAAACAAATAAAGGGTGAACATTTCTGCTCCAGGCATCTCTGGTCCAGCAACAGCTATGGTTGGGCAGGACCACAGATGTTGCCAGACCAAAGAGTCCTGGGGGCCAGCTGAGAGTCTGGCAGCAGAGGGTGTGGCACCCTGGAGCCCGGTGGGAGGCAGGCAGCAGAGCCAGTCCCATGGCCAGGGACAGGAAGCCCAGTAGTGCCAGCAGTGGGGATACAAAAGACTAGTCCACTATCCAATAAGCAAATGCTTATTGGATAGTTGACAGGATAGTCGACTAGTCACTTCCCCCCGCCCCTCCCCACACACACACTGCCCCTATCACACTGCAACGGGCGGGGAGAAGAGGGAGGTACTTCAAAGTGGCAGTGCCGCACGGAGCCCGGGGTCAGCTGGGAACTCCCGAGTTCTGTGCGGTAATGCCACTTTGAATGCAGCAGGGAGCCCAGCATTGGGCTCCTTGCGGTATTTCAAAGCGGCAGCGCCATTTGGAGCCTGCGGTCAGCTGGGGACTTCCCAGCTGTCCCCTGGCACCGTGTGGTGCTGCTGCTTTGATACGCCATGGTGGTAATTCAAAGCGGCGGCACTGCACGGAGCCCAGGGTCAAAGGGGGAGTCCCCAGCTGACCCTGGGCTTCGGTGCTTTTGCCTTTGAAGTGTAGCAACATTCCTATACTTCAAAGGTGGAGGTGCCCTATTGACTAACTGAAGAATCGATGCAAAAATGCATTGACTATTTGATCAGTCAATTACCTCATACTTAACATCCTTAGCCAGCAGCAGAGCCAGTCCCACAGCTGGGGCGTCGGTGGCCCAGAGCTCATCCAGGGGACCTGGAGCGGAGCGGCAGGGAGCCTGGCCAGGGATGGCAGCAGAACTAGTTCTACAGCCAGGGCTGGATTATCCAATAAGCAGACTAAGCACGTGCTTAGGGCACCAGCAAAGCAGGGGCACCAAAAAAAATGAGATTTTTTTTGAAAATTTTTAAAAAAGCATCAAAGTTGTCATTGTGGGAAAAATCAGAACTCCGCAGAATGCTCTTTTTCTCAGCTGAAAAGAATATAAAACCCTCAGAGAACAACAATGTGTCAGGACAGACTCGATTCACTTTCCCTATTGTGTATGGAACCGGACGTGCTTCGTCAAGTCAGCTTCGATGAACGTATCCAGAATTTTGCAATCAGAAAATCTAGAAAGATGCTATTTTAATTTCAGAAGACATGTCAGTTTTGTGTCATTTCGAAAAATACAATTTTATTTTACAGTATAGTATTGTTTTTATTTTGAATTACATATGGGGGGCACCATAATCTTTTCAGTGCTTAGGGCCTCTAAAAGTCTTAATCCGGCCCTGGAGGAGACTCCTACCACCTTTGGAGAGGTAAGAACTTACCCAGAATCACAGAGCAAGTCGCTCTCCAATCCATTCCCATGAAATAAAGACCTGCAGTTCTGTGGCTTCCTGAAATGGGCTCTGTGTATCGCCCAAAGGCTACCTCGGAGCAAATCGCTGAGGCTCATTTCCCATTACATCTCTGCCTCCCCGTTCCTCTACACAGGGGCAGATGACCATTTTGCGGGCCCCGGGCAGCATAATTTCGTGGGGGCCCCCCCCCCTTTGCCACGGCACATGCGCAGTGACACCATGCGCATGCGTGGGGCATTTTGAAGCGCGGGGCCTGGGGCGGCCGTCCCGTTCGCCCTGCCCTATATCCGCTCCTGCCTCTACACAGGCCAGGCTGGCCCCGTCTGTCTAATGACTGACAGGCCCAAAGCATCAGGTTTCAGTTCTACGAGGGATGGATGGGGTGTAGGTGGAGGGGTGTGGCTATACGGAGAAAAACTGGACAAGATTTACCCAGCAGGGGACACATTCCCCCTCCCCTCCTCCCCAGCTCATGGAGTGGCACCAACAGTGAGCTAGGATAGGAAACTTGTCTTTAGTTTTGCATTCCCTGATAGAAGTGCCGACTGACTTGGGTGTTTGCTTCATGCCCTCTCAAATCCTGCTGCTGACACCAATGTTACCCCCTCTCCCCATATCCTCCAGGGCACCCCCGCATACCCCTCCAAAGGCAAAGAAATGCCTGCTGAATACACTGCATAGAAGGGCACGCTGCACTGTCAGACCAGCCCCTCACTATTTCAGACAAGGTTCTAGTATTTCACAGACCAGATGTTAAAATAATTCCCCCTCCCCTCTCTGGGTTTTTAATTGATCCCTCCAATAACCCAGCTCCCCACAAAAGGACTGGAGGCCTTTACTCAGACTAATGAATCCCAGGGCACGCTTTTCATTCCTTCAGCTGGAGATCATTAGAAGCTGCTATGGCTCTTTCACCAAAAGAAACCCCCTCACAACCAAAAGGGACTCACTGCGGCTGCTTTATCTCTAGCCTTCTTCCTTTGCTTTTGCAGACCCTTCTCCTTTCCCTTCTGGGATTTCTATTGCATGTTTAGGCCCCAGTGGAATATCTGCCTTTCAGAGCTCCCCACCCCCCACTCCACATGCATACACGTCTCACAGGGGTGGGGGTCGGGTACCTTTAAGCACAGCCCTCGGCTAGCTTGAGACAGCAGCTCCACACTCGAAGTCCTAATTTGATGCCCTGCCAGCACTGCTTCCGGCCATCCTTAACCTCGGTTCAGGGTCCACTCAATGTGGACATGCTAGTTCGAATTAGCAAAATGCTAATTTGAACTAGTTTTTAGGTCTAGATGCTCTAGTTCGAATTAGCTTAGTTTGAATTAACTAATTTGAATTAAGTTAGTTCAAATTAGCGCTGTAGTGTAGACATACCCTCAGAGAACAACAATGCGTCAGGACAGACTCGATTCACTTTCCCTATTGTGTATGGAAGCGGACTTGCTTCGTCAAGTCAGCTTTGATGAACGTATCCAGAATTTTGCAATCAGAAAATCTAGAAAGAAGCTATTTTAATTTCAGAAGACATGTCAATTTTGTGTCATTTTGAAAAATACAATTTTATTTTACAGTATAGTATTGTTTTTATTTTGAATTACATATGGGGGGGGCACCATAATCTTTTCAGTGCTTAGGGCCTCTAAAAGTCTTAATCCGGCCCTGCCCACAGCAGAGGAGCTGGCGGGCTGAAGCCCAACTAGAATTAACAGTGGCTCTGGTCTGACAGCCAGTGAGCCTGCAGTAGAGCTTGTCAGCTGTGAGGGGAGCCTGGCAGAGAAGCTCATGGCCTCACAGGAAAGCCTGGAGGCTGGCAGCAGAAGGAGCAGAATGATCATCATCATCTGGCAAACACCCTTATTTGGGACTGGTCAGGCCCTTATGTGTGCTGGACCAGGGAGGTCCAACCTGCATTACGTGTGGGGGAAGGGTTAGCATGTAAAAGGAAATCATGAGTCACCACAATATTAAAATTCTTGGAGACTCTCAACCAGCATGAGGACAAGGGTGAGCTAGTCGACATAATGTACTTGGACTTTCTGAAAGCCTTTGATAAGCTCCCTCATCAAAAAGTAAGCAGTCATAGGCTAAGAGGGAAGATACTCTGATTAAAAGATAGGACACAAAGGGTAGGAATAAATGGTCAGTTTTCATAGTGGGAGCAAACTAAATTGCAGGGTGCCCAGAGGAGTTGTAGTGGATCCAGCTCTGTACAACAGATTATAAATGTTTGGGGAAATGGCATGAACATGGAGGTGGCAATGTTTGTAGAATATACTACACTACTCAAGACAGTTAAGTTCAAAGTGGACCACAAAAAGTTACACAGAAATCTCATAAAACTGCGTGACTGGGCAACTAAATGGCGAATGAAATTCAATACTGATAAGCACAAAGTAATTCACACTGGAAAACATAATCCTAAGTATACATACAAAGTGATGGCTAAATGACCTGTTGCCACTCAAGAAATCTGGAGTTATCATAGCACGTTTTCTGAAGACATCTGCCCAATGTGCAGTGCCAGTAAAAAGAGCTAACCGAATGTTAGGAACCATTAGGAAAGGGATAGATAAGAAGACAGAAAACAACGTCCTTATATACAGCTGTAGTGCGCTCATGCTGTGTGCTATTCTGGGCACTCCATTAAAAAAAAAAAGGTACAGAGATGGGTAATAAAAAATATTAGTTTATGGAACAGCTTCAATACTAGACTAGGTGAGTTTGAAAAGACTGGGGCTGCTCAGTTTAGAAGAGATAACTGGGGGGGGGGGCAGTATTGTCTACAAAAAGGAGAAAGGTCTACAAAGTCATGAATGGAAGGGAGAAAGTGACTAGGGAAATATTATTAACCCCTTCACAAAATATAAGAACTCAGACATCTGATGAAATTAATGGGCAGCAAGTTGAAAATAAATATACAAGGATGTACTTTTCTCCACAATGCACAGTCACACTGTGAAACCGATTGCCATGGCATGTGAGGAAGGTAAAAAATAATTAGGTACTTTCATGGAGAATAGGTGTATCAATGGCTATTAGCCAATATAGTCAAGAATGGGACTC